CCTTACAAAGTTAATACAATATTACCGACTGTGTTCCCCACGCCGTACATTGCACCCCGTGACTTATTTATCTTATAACGGTACGTTTATACTTCTTCATCCCATCCCTTAAGAATCGCTGCCAGCCCTTTCCATCACGAGGCAGACACGCAGGTTGGGGTGGCTTTCTCCCCTCTTGCCTCCACCCTCACGTCTCCCCGGCTCGAACCTCCCCACTCACCAGGTGCAAGGCCAGGGGCAGCAGCAGCAGGAACAGCCACAGGTAGAGGTGGCAGCTGTTGGTGAACTTGCTCTGCTCCGGGTCGTGGTACCAGCCGCCGGTGAGCGCGGCCCACACGCCCTGCCGGAGCAGCTGCAGCGCCTGGGACACCATGCCTGCTGCGCCCCGGGGCCGGCGGCGCCCCGCTGCGCTCCGCCCGCCGGTCCCCGGGCGCCCTCGGCTCTAACACCCAGGCCCGCGGGAGGCGCCACCGCCGCCACCGCTGCCGCCGCCCCCTCCCCCACCTTCCGCCCCGCGACTGAAGCTCGAGCTGCTCTCCTGCCCGGACCCGCGAACCGCGGCGCCGGAGCCGGCTGCTGCCGCGGGGCAGGTGGGCGCCATGTCCGAGGGAGGAAGGATTTTCCCATGGTGCTCAGAGGCGGCCGCTCAGAGGATGCTCCAGAGGCTCCGCCCAGCGCCCGCCCAGAGTCCCTCCACCGGCCCGCGGGGGGGGGGGGGGGGGGGGGGGGAAGGATTCCTGAGCCCCTCCAGCCGCTCTGCCTTGGCTCTGCTCTCTGCCCCTTCCTTTTCCTCCCCATCGTCTCACCACGGGCAAGAAGGGCTGAAAAATCAAAGATGTTCTCGTGCAGAAGAGACCATCCAAAACACGCGCTTTTGCCTTTTCCCCTTTTGCTGCCTGCACCAAAAGGTTTATGTAACACAAGATCCTGTCACACATCACTCCTTGTAATCCGCCCCCCCCCCCCCCCCCGCCCCAGCACTGGCACAGTTTCATTCTCCTGAATTAACTGCTGGCCCCCGGACGTTCTAGTAGTCAGCCTAAGCCCCGCCTGTGCCTTTGGCACTGACCTTTTCCCCTCCCTGACCTTTTCCCTTCGTCCCCTCTGTTGTCCAACTTGGCACATCAAGAAGATGACCATCTTCCTGGAACCATTTCAGGAGCCTCGGTTAGACTTGTCTTTTTGTATTATGCCTAGAATATAATCCCAGTCATCAATCGACTATTCAGAACGTTAGTCTAAGTCTTCCCATACTGTTTAGATAGGAAGGCCCACTAGAAGGTACCAGTGAACTCGTGATCTTTAGTTCTTATACTGTTTTATAATTTATAGTAGATAAATTCCAAATTGTCTTCTGAAAGCAAGCTTTGGACAAGAGACAGAGAAAAGGGAACTCGCCTTGCTTAGGAATAAGCAGAGGAAGCCCTGTGTTAGGGCCTTTGGGAAAGAGCAGGGATTGGAAGGTTCCATGGTCCTCAGATACGCCTTTCCTGTGGCATCTGCCCCAAACACATCACATTTCGTCTCTGATATGGGCACCCGTGTGCGCCCTGGCCATGTTCTGGTGCGCAGCAGCATTTGCTCATGGCTGCCTTAGCCAGGTCCAGTAAGGGCATCCCAGCCTTCCTATGCTGAAATGAGATAAGATGAGGTCTGTCCTAAGGAGCAAGTCTGGAACATGAAAGCCCACTGGGTTACAGCCAAAGTCTCACTAGTGTGTATGCCGTCAGCCTTAACCACTTTTTAATCGACTCTGCATTCATCTGCAGGAATGACTAGCCAAAATGTAATAATTCTGCTTTTTGTATTGGCATGATAGTTTTCTCAAAGCCAAGAGGATGCCTGTTATATGGCTCAATGCTTGGAACCTACCAGGTGCTCCATAAATAGTTCATGAATGAATCAATCAACCGACTCCACAGGAAGACCCACACTAAAGGATCACTTTCATGTGCATGGCTCCCGGAGGAGTGCAGCAGGTCCATTCCCGCACTAAGGGAGTGCCCTTATTCATTTGTGTCTGCCTGGTTCATCAAATATTTATTGAGCACATTCTATGCGCCAGGCATTTTGCAGAAGACTGAGAAAGGGAACATCAATAAAATATAATTCTTACCATGAAGGAGTTCACAGACTACAAGAGGACTCAGGCAAACCAACACAGACTTGCAACAAAATGTTCTGTGTGCTACAATATATACAATTGTATACATGTATCCTGTTGTGGGAGGTCACCAAAAGGACGTGATCCCTGATTGACCTGAGGGCTGGGCCAGGGCTATCCGAGGCTCTTAACCCCTCCCGCACATACCCCAACCCCACCCGCATACTTGGAATATATGTTTCATTCACCATTTTCCCACTAGGACCCACATCAAGAATGCAGACTTGAGAGAGCAATGTGTTATTGAGACCATCTGGACCGTTTACACAACGGAACCAGGTTAAGGCCTGTGGATAAACTTAAGATTCGGGCGGGCAGGTGCAGATAGCTACCCATCTCACAGCCACCCAAGACAAGCCAGGTGTATAAGTTCCCTTGCTTATTAAAATTGCCACCTACCGCAGTCGGTTAAGCGTCCGACTTCAGCCAGGTCACGATCTCGCGCTCCGTGAGTTCGAGCCCCATGTCAGGCTCGCGTCAGGCTCTGGGCTGATGGCTCGGAGCCTGGAGCCTGTTTCCGATTCTGTGTCTCCCTCTCTCGCTGCCCCTCCCCCGTTCATGCTCTGTCTCTCTCTGTCCCAAAAATAAATAAAAAACGTTGAAAAAAAAAATTAAAAAAAAAAAAATTGCCACCTACCAACCTAGAGCGGTCTGCCTCTTTCTTTGGTCTCCCCTTGCCCTCCGTGTATGGGGGCCAGTTTCGGATTTCCCCCTAGAACCCCCAAGGGTGCAAGGTCAGTTTCATGTATCATTTGAAGTTCTTCAGAATTTATCTTTGGTGGGGCGCCTGGGTGGCTCAGTCGGTTAAATGTCCGACTCTGGCTCAGCTCATGATCTCACAGTTCATGGGTTCAAGCCCCACATCAGGCTCTGTGCTGACAGCTCAGAGCCTGGAGCCTGCTTCAGATTCTGTGTCTCCCTCTCTCTCTGATCCTCCCCCACTCATGCCCTGTCTCTGTCTGTCTGTCTCTCTCTCTCTCTCAAAAGTAAATAAATATTAAAAAATTTATCCTTGGCAATAGACAGGCATTGAAATGCTTTAAGCCTGGATGTGACATAAACAACAGTGCAGGGGGAAATGTTGAATACCTGGAACAGCAAGAATGAATGTGATATTGAGGGATTAAATGTGACTGAGGACTTGGCAACCAATTCAATGTAGAGATAAAAGAATAAAGTAACTTCCGGGGCACCTGGGACACTCAGTCGGTTCAGCATCTGACTCTTGGCTTTGGTTCAGGTCACGATCTCAGGATTTTGTGAGTTCGAGCCCCACATCAGGTTCTGCACTGGTGGCACAGAGCCTGTTGAGGATTCTCTGTCTGCCCCTCCCCCATTCTCTCTCTCTCTCTCTCTCTCTCTCTCTCTCTCTCCTTCTCTGTCTCCCAAATAAAATAAAACTTTAAAAATTATTTTAAAAGAAAGTAATTTTCTGTTTGGGGGTGGGGTGATGATGCGGTGAAATTAATCAAGTTAGGGAATGTTAGGCTGTGTAGCAGGGAAAACCAAAAACCAAAAAACAACGGCTCTGAATTTTCCTGGGGACTTAGCGGGGGGGGGTGGTGTGACGATGGTCTCTGGGGCTTAGCAGAGGTGTCTCAAGTGGGGACACAGACTTGGGGAATTCCAGGAAAGGGAGTGACAGACTCCTGGAAAAGAGTGTGGAGTAGGAAGCGTGGGGGCTGCGGATCACAAGGGTTAAAGCAGGCGGAAAGAAGGAAAGAGAAGAGGAGACCAAGGAGGGCCTGTTATCACCAAGTAACTACAGAGGGAAAGAGCAACTCCAGAAGGAAACGGTTAATCGTGTCAAGTGCCACAGAAGAGGCCAAATACAGAGTGAACATTGTCGTTAGGAGTGACCCTTGCTCTCTTCAGCTCCAGGATCGAAGGTAGTGACCTGGGCAGATACCGGATTCATTCTCTTTCATAAGAGTGAGCATGTTCTGAAGAAGAAGAAGCGACCAAACTAAGCAACTCTCTAGAGGACCTTGGGGTAGGTGTCAGCAAAGCGCTCCTTTTAACGAACTGGCTTTTTTTTTTTTTAATTTTTTTTTTCAACGTTTATTTATTTTTGGGACAGAGAGAGACAGAGCATGAACGGGGGAGGGGCAGAGAGAGAGAGGGAGACACAGAATCGGAAACAGGCTCCAGGCTCTGAGCCATCAGCCCAGAGCCCGACGCGGGGCTCGAACTCCCGGACCGCGAGATCGTGACCTGGCTGAAGTCGGACGCTTAACCGACTGCGCCACCCAGGCGCCCCATTAACGAACTGGCTTTTAATATGGGGGAATGGGCGTCTGGGTGGCTCGGTCAGTTAAGCGTCCACCTTGGGCTCAGGTCATGATCTCACGGTTCGTGGGTTCGAGCCCTGCGTCGGGCTCTGTGCTGACAGCTCAGAGCCTGGAGCCTGCTTCGGATTTGGTGTCTCCCTCTCTCTCTCTGCCCCTCCACTGCTCATGCTCTGTCTCCCTCTGTCTCAAAAATAAATATAAACAGGTAAAAAATTTAAAAAACAAAACACAAAAAACACAGGGGGAACAAATAAGCATGTCTCTTCTCCACCACTCTGATTTTCTTGGGTAGCCTAAATCTATTCTCCTGGCTTTAACTATTATGCATGTGTTAAGGACCTGAAGTCTTTATATTCAGCCCTGACTTCTTTCCTGAACTTCAGATTTATATCCCCTTGGAGGCCCCCCAACCTCAGCATGTTCACACTCATTGTTCACACTCAGCATGTGTCACTCACTGGCTTCTCCCTTACTGGCAATTCTCCTGTTGCACCTTCTGTATTTTGGTTTGTTTTTTAAAAACAAAACAAAACAAAACAAAAACAAAAGATCTCACATATTTATTACCGAACCAACCTACTTGTCCAGAAGCATAGCAATAGAGGAAAATCATTTCCCCAATAAAACATGTCTATTGTTCAGGTGGTGGCGCTGTTTACAGTGTGATAGGGTACGAGCATGTGACCCTCCTGCGGCATGAATATATGTGCCATCTCCTGTGTGATCCCTCACAGACCCAGCTTGGTTCTTCTCCATCCAGGGCTTCCTCCTGGAGTTGCACCTGATTTCATTACCACTTTTCATCCAAATCCCCTGGGGAATGGGACCATTCTGCTTTTGTTTCTTGGCCAGGAATTGCTTGATCCTGAAAGTCCTGTGAGAAGACACGACCAGGAACAATCAACCGCACATACCATGATGGCAGAGAAAAAGTGTGCCTTCTGTATTTTGGATCGTAATCACTTAGAAGTGGGGATTTGGAGGCACCTGGGTGGCTCAGTCTGTTGAGTGTCCGACGCTTGATTTCGGCTCAGGTCATGATCTCACAGTTTGTGGGATGGAGCCTTGCGTCAGGCTCTGTGCTGACGCTGCAGAGCCTGCTTGGGATTCTCTCTCTCTCTCTCTGCCCCCCCCCTCTCTCTCTCTGCCAAAATAAATACATAATTTTTAAAAAGAACCAGGAATCGACCCTAGATCCCCCTTCTCTCCCATCCCTCTTTCTCTTAGCAACTCATCCAGTCAATCATCAAGTCTTAACAACTTTATCTCCAAGAGACTATTACTAGATACATTTCGCTCTGTCCCTACAACCACTGCTTCGGGTGAGGTCCTGAGGATTTCTCACTTGAACTATCTCAGTGGCTTCCTGGTGGGTTTTCGTTTCTCCAACTTAACCCCCTAGGTCAATTAATGTCCATCCAGGAAGAAAACAAAAGAGCAGCTCTTGGCTTTTAGGCAGAGATGATCTGACAGGGCAAAGGGAAAAGCTGAGACAGGAAATGATGGATGATGAAGACCCTGGAGATGAGCAAAGGCAGAAGCAGGGCTCCTAGGACCGGAGGCGGTACTGTCCGAACTGAGAAGCCAAGGATTGGCAGCAGGAGACAGAGCCATGGCAGTGCAGGCTGGAGAGAGTTGGAGCCTGGAGGATGTACAGCTGCCTCAACAAATCCCACAACAGGCAACAGTGGGGGTAGGGATACATGAATGCCCTGACTTCTCTTCTCCAGACTTCCAATCTTTACCTCTCCCTTCCATTGACCAAACCTACCTGGAACTCATGGTGCATGGAAGCCTGGGGAATGTGGTTACCTGCATAAAGAGTAGAGCAGGTGAAGGGGAAGCCAAAGTGATTCACATAAAACGTAAATCCAACCTCTCTACCCCTTATTAAATGTTTTTCCATCACATGCAAAAACAAACAAACAAACAAAAAGCAGTTAAGGGCCCCCCGAGCCTTGTCCTCACCAAATCCCCACGACCTCATCTCTGGAAACCCAAACTACTTATATATCTTTGCACACACCATGCTGCGTCATGCCTTTCTGCTTTTGCTGATACTGTTTCCTCAGCAAGTCAACATATGTCAACATACCTATCACACACACACACACACACACACACACACACACACACACCTGTGCATGGGATTTTTATTGGGATTATAACTGAATCTACTAGTCAATTTTTAGAGAATTGACATCTTAATTTTTTTTATTATTTATTTTTGAGAGAGGGAGAGAGCAAGAGAGAGCAAGCACAAGCTGGGGAGAGGCAGAGAGAAGGAGACACAGAAGCCGAAGCAGGCTCCAGGCTCTGAGCTGTCAGCACAGAACTCGGGGACTCAAACCCACAAACTGTGAGATCATAACTGAGCCAAATTCGGATGCTTAACCTACTGAGCCACCCCAGTGCCCCTTGAAGTCTTCTTAATATTCAACTTTTCCGATGATGAACAAGATGTAGCCCTTCATTTATTAAGACCTTTCACTAATATTTTATAGTTTTCCATGTAGAACTCTTGTACGTTATTTATTGGCACCCAGTGTGGGCCACGATCCAATTGACTAGGGCTGAGGAAAGTAATGTAAAAACTGAAATATTAGGGAACTGAGATTAATTGGAATTGAAATACTAAAGTTTATATGGGAGCTGGAACACCACCTTTCCATGGCCAGAGGCATATCCAGGCTCCTCATCGTGTAGGAATGGCCTTCGAAGTGAAGTGTGTTTGTCTAGCCCCTAATGTAGGCAATAGAGCTGGAGAGAGGGCAGTGACTCAGCTGTGTTTGAGTCACCACAACATAAACAGTGGAGTTAGGTGCAGCAAGATGGCTTTGCAGAGCAGTAAAATTCCTAACGTCCTTGCCTTCCTGAGGCTCTTTCCCACTGCTTCCCCTGTCAAGTGCAACTCTAAATGGATATCAGCACCCCGAGGATTTGCTCCAGCAGAGGATGACAATATGGCTACGCCAAAGAGGAGTGAACAAACATGAGCAGTCTAGAGCCCCGGGCCAAGAAAGGCTGATGGAGGCATCCACGCAGCCTGTACCTTGGTGTGCCCGCCCACTGACCCTAGTGAAGGGGTCCTTATGCTGCTCAACGGTCCATGCTCTTCATCTGCCAGTCTGCTTTCAGTTCATGGGCCCCGTTGAGGCTCATTCTTACTCACTAACTATTATGGATGGAACACTCTTTGGACTCCGAGAAGGCTCTGAGTGTGGGCAAGTGGAAGAGGCTGTATCTGCTGGAGAAATAAAATAGTGATTAATAGCATTTGTCATAGTCCTATGAGATGAATCCTCATTAATTTACAGAGCCTCATTTATAACTATGAGCAAAAAATAAAAAATTTTAAATTACCAAAATAATTAAAGATTCAAAAGCTAACCACTCTAAGAAAATGGCCCCCATGAAAATAGGGCACCTGAAGAAAATAATAAGAGGTCCTTAAACATTAGAATTCATATTCTCCATGAGATTTGAGGGAATATTGCATCGATTAAAAACAAAATAACAAGACATTATGAAAGAGGAAAAATTGGAAAGGAGAAGAGAATTTTGGCTGTTAACAGAGCTTGTGATTATCATATACAAACATTTTCAGAAAAGAGAGAAGGAAGAATGCTTATGAACTCATTCTATGGGGCAAGTATTTCCCTGATTCCAAAACAGATGAAGACATGACAAGAAAAGAAAACCTCAGAATATTCGTTATTCCTCTATAACAAAAACAAAATCCTCAACAAAATATTGGCATTCTAAATCCAGTAACATATTAAAAAAATATTAGATACCATAATTCTGTAGGATTCTTCCCAGGAATTCAAGGATGGTTTAACATCCCAAAATCAAGCATTTGAGGGTGACCTTAATCTGTGTGTTGCAGGGCACCACAAATGTCTACCACACTCTTGGGTAAGCATTCTCAGAGCTACCAGAAAATGTGCTTCACTAAAATGAGTGACTATACTAGGGCAGAGAAAGTTATGGAACATGGGAACAAACTATGGAAAAAAGAAAAGGAAAATAAAAAAGAATTACTGTCTACAAGCTCACAAAACAGCATGCCTAGAGAATAACCCATCCGGACGAAGAATTAAGATGTATTTTGAATACAATGCCGGTGACAATTTTAGGTCTATTTGAATATTTCACTTCTTTTGACTTTTTGGTAAATCGAATTTTGAAAAAGTTTGTCCATCTCGTCTAAATTTTCTACTTTGTCAGCATAAAGCTGTTAATACCACGCTCTTGTGATTTTTAAGAGCTGGCATAAATACACAATGATGTGTGCCTTTTCATTCCCGAAATCCATTATTTGTGCCTCCTGTCTCCTTCATGGTCACTCATCAGGGATTGATCAAATTAACCAGAACAAACATTTGACTGTGTTCATCTTCTCTATCAAATTTTTGCTATTTTGTTATTTTACGTTCTCAATTTGTTTTCCTGGCTTTTATTGTATTTGAGCGTAATTTGTTCTTTTTCTAATGTCTTGAGGTAGATGCTTGGCTCATTTGTTTTTTTGCCACAGCTCCTAATATATTGTTGAAACTATGTAGTTACATACAGCTAAACCTATACAGTTAAACCTATAAATTTTTCCCTAACCATTGTATTAGTTGCACTCTACAAACTTTATATATATATATAGTGTGTGTGTGGTATATATGATATATATATATTGTATATATATTCGTTACATATATATATATATATTTGTTATATATATTTTCTTGGGCATATATATGGACATATATATTGTATATACATATTATTGTTCAGTTCAAAATATGTTCTAGTTTCCATTGGGACTCCCATAACCCATGGGTTATTTAGAAATATATTGCTTTAGAGATATGTTGGTATACATATATATGAGAAATTTTATAATAATTCATGATTTCCCATTTAATTCCAGAGAACATACTCTAAATGATTTCAATTATTTGTTAAGACTCGATTTATGACAAAGTATATGGTCAGTTTGGTAAATCATTGTGTGTGCTTTAAAAGAATGATTTATAGGGGTGCCTAGGTGGCTCAGTCTGTTGAGTGTCCAACGTCAGCTCAAGTCATGATCCCATGGTTCACGGGTTCAAGCCCCGCGACCGGCTCCGTGCTGACAGCTCAGAGCCTGGAGCCTGCCTCGGATTCTGTTTCTCCTCTCTCTGACCCCCTCCCCTGCTTGCTCTCTGTCCCTCTCTCTGTCTCTCAAAAATAAATAAATGTTAAAAAATAATAATAAATAAATAAATAATTGATTGATATGCACATTTAAGATTCAGTGTTCTATAAATGTCCAGTGATTAAATCTGATAATCATGGGGTAGATTTTATTCTATTGTGAAGAAAGTTGAGGAAAAGGAGTTGGGGGGAAGAAGGATAAGAAGGAAAAAAAAAAGAAAAGAAAAAGCAGTACAGCTCTTACTTCTTTGTAGCACTAGGTGGCGCTAGAACACTGCTGTCAATACAGTAAAATACAGTACACTGCCATTATTCTAAAGAGGCAAAGACTTTTTTTTTTTTTTTTTTTTTTTTTTTTTTTTTTTAATTTTGAGAGAGAGAGAATGAGCTTGGGAGGGGAAGACAGAGAAGGAAACAGAGAATCCCCAGCAGGCTCCATGCTATTAGCACAGAGCCCAATGTGGGGCTTGAACTCAGGAACCATGGGATCATGACCTGAGCTGAAGTCAGATGCTTAACTGACTGAGCCACCCAGGCGCCCCTAAAGAGGCAAAGACTTTAAACAAAGGGTGGATTCAGTACTCCAGAAATCCACCAAAATGACAGTTCTACTTTTCAACCTGTTTAGTTTGTTCATGTCTTGTGAAAGTCAGTGCATGCTGTGCGTGTGTTTTGTGAGTGAATATGACATATTTATTAAATTATTTTTTCTTGAACTTCTGTGCAAATTAGTGGCCCCGAAGAACAGAAGAGAAACACTGAAACTCAAGGTGTATTCTAAATTACTTAAAGACATTTTCAGAGATAAAGGAGGATTTTTCTTGGACATTAAAATGACACATCAGGCCCCTACCCCAAAATGACCAAGAACAAAAAACCTGACATTAACAGGGATCCTAAGGCAGTCGACATCTGCATTCCCAGAGTAAGGACTTTGGTCAACTCACTCTCCCACAAAACTGATGAAAATAGAGGCACAAGCAACATCAATCATTTCAGAACCCTGGAAATTAACCAAAGCCATGGACTGAACAGCAAATCCTCTGTCCACGAGAAACTATTTAACTTACGTAAGACAGTGGGGTCTGTGACATTTTAACAGAGGCCCTTGCCATCCTTCCTGCATCCCAGGCCCAGTGACCTGCAGGTATAGACAAGAGTGTCTTTTAGGCTGACGTGAGAGGACACCAGACAATAACTCGAATCCACACAGAAAAATAAAGGACACCAGCAAAACTAACTACACAGGTAAATATAAAAACATTATAAACATGCTTTTGTTTATAATTTCTTCACGCTCACATCTATTTTCAAAGGCAACTATATAAAGCAAGAATTACAAAACTGTGATGTAGAGCTTATGATACTATAAAGATGAAACGTGTATGAAAAGAACAGCATAAAAGAAGTGGGAGGGAACAGAGTTATATGGGAGCCAGCTACTATAACCACTAACAAACTAAAATTTAAAGTTACAGTAAAAGAAAGTATAAAGGAATTAAAACGTCATACTAGAAAATATCCACTTAGCAATAAAGGAGGCAGTAATGGAGGAATAGAGACACAAAAAAGACAGAACATATAAAAACAAATAACAAAATGGCAGCTATAAGTCCTACCTTCTCAGTGATTACACTAAACACAAATCGATTAAGCCTGAAATCAAAAGGCAGATTGGCAGAATGGATTAAAAAGAATTAATCAAATGATAAGTTGCTACCGAACACATCCTGATTCAAAGATACAAATAGGTGGTGGGGCGCCTGAGTGACTCAGTTGGTTAATTGTCCAACTCTTGGTTTCAGCTCGGGTCATGATCTCACAGCCCGTGATATGGAGACCCATTAACAGTGCAGAGCCTGCTTGGGATTTTCTCTGTCCCTCTCTATCTGCCTGTTTCCCATCATGCTTGCACTCTCTTTCTCTCTCTCTCTCTCTCTCTCAAAATAAATAAGTAAACTTTTTTTAAAAAGTTACAGGGGCACCTGGGTGGCTCAGTTGGTTAAACATCTGATTTCAGCTCAGGTCATGATCCCACAGTTCATAAGTTTGAGCCCTGCATCGAGCTCTGTACTGACAGCTCAGAGCCTGAAGCCTGCTTCAGATTCTGTGCCTGCCTCTCTCTCTCTTTACCCCTCCCCCACTCACGCTCTGTCTCTCTCTCTCAAAAATAAATAAACATAAAAAAATTTTTTTAGGGTACAAATAGGTGTAAAATAAGAACTGAAAAAGACACAAATGCAAACAAAGAGAGTCTGAGTGACCATACTAATATCAAATGAAATAGACTTTGAGACAACAGCTGTTACTAAGAAAAAGAACATTTATAATGATAAAGGATTAATTTATTAAGATTTAACAAATATGAACATATATGCACCTAACTAGAGAGCCGCATAACATGCGAAATAAAGACTGACAGAATTAAAGAGAGAAATAGGCAATTCAATGAGTTGGAGACTTAAGTAATGTACTTTCAGTAATGGAAAGAGTAACTACACAGAAGATCAACAAGTAAACATAAGTCTTGACTTCTGGATATGTTGTGGATATCCTGTCTAGGCAGTGGCGACTTCCATCCAGAATTTGCTTTGGATGTCCAGATTCATGATACCTCACAAACACCAAGAGGGTATGAAAATTTTATTACTTCTCTAATTAGGTTTTCTGCAGAAAACCTTAGGTCTCCCCAAGCAAATCTGTAAAGGGCTCAAGAGAGTGGAGATAGGAGGGGTGCCTAGGTGACTAAGTTGGTTAAGTGTCCAACTCTAGATTTCAGCTCAGGTCATGACCTCACAGTTTGTAAGTTCGAGCTCCACATCGAGCTCTGCCCTGGCAGTGTGGTGCCTACTTGGGATTCTCTCTCTCTCTCTCTCTCTCTCTCTCTCTCTCTCTCTAAGTAAATAAATTAAAAAGAGAGAGTGGAGAAAGGAGAATGCTTTTGGGTTTTTTGTGAGGAAGGAGTGGGACCAGGGTGACAGGCCCCGCATATAGGCACAGGATTGCATGGTTTGGATCTCCTACTGGTTCCAAAGAAAAGATGCCTAGCCTTTCTTT